TCGAGCATCATTTGCTCTGTGCTTCAAGTCGCTGCTGATGACGCTGCTTCCGGCATCAGTTTTTGGTGTCTCTCTTCGTCTGCTGCCTACCCTTTGACCTGTCCAGCAAGGGAGGCCCTGCCAGTAGCTACGCTACCGCTGGTATAGCTCTCAGGGTCCTTGGCATACTCAAACCCCCTCACCACGATAAGGTGGTTATATATATAAAATGCTTAATTTCTAACGTCTCCATTTGCGGGCAATTTGACCTCCTTGGACTCTTCCCACGTGGCAAGGGCGAAGAGCAATTTCTGAGATGACGACGCCCTGTAGGCCACATTTCTTACCGCCCACGATACAGCGATGAGAGTGGCATGGACACAGGGGTCCCACCGCTAACCCTGAGCTCCAGACCACGATAGAGGGGGCCGAGGCAGGCATTTTTATAAACACACACGGCTTCTTTTAAGCCGTCTTCAGTATCTGGACTATATACACCGAGTGGAAGGCTGAAGAATGAGGAATTGGAAGAAAGCGATAGTGACATAATCTAGATATTATCCAGGCATTTTCGTGGATGAACCCAGGAGAACCACGAAAAACCTCAGTCAGAAGATTCGGTGACCCGGCCGAGAGTCGAACCCAGTACTGGTTAGCTCAGCACCAACCTTCCGTGGAGGGCCATATGGTTGTGAGATGTCGAGGATCCCACATTTTGTAGACTATCGGCTCACAGATGGCGGTGAGGCTGTCAGCCTTACGCGCCGACTGACCGCGTCTTTACCCCCAAAAAGATTCCTGGTACTCATTTCTGTTAGGTGTTGAGTAGAACCCAGGGCCACTGTGTGGCTGGAAGGATTAGGTCAATTGAAAAATCCAATGACCTCGTTGAGAATCGAACCCGCAACCTCCGGGCTTGTACCATAGTGCCCCAACCAACTACGCTACCGCGTGCAGGGCGTATAAAGTAAAAGAGCACACAGAAGGTGGTCGCTGTGTAACGGTGGGCTTGGTCCGCCCCTTGTTCGCTCAAGGTGCATAAACGGAGAACGAGAAGAGGATGTAAGATTCTAATGGATAAACATGACAGAACGAAGAATGAAAGGGCAATGGCCAAATAGTGAAAGTGAAGGGAGAAAAGGAAGAGTAAAGAAAGATAACATGAGGTAGTCACAACGACAAATGGATGATTACTGATTTCATTATATCCTTTGTTTTTCGAAATACAAATTTTTTGATACTTGCAGATAGACAGGCCTGCTACTGCTCAGCACAGACAAGTCTTAGTAACCTAAAGTGTATTCCCACCGCGGCGGCCCGGGTTCGATCCTGGGTCTGGTCAAGTGGGATTTGTGGTGGACAAAGTGGCTCTGGGGCAGGTTTTCTCCCAGTACTTCGGTTTCCCCTGCTAATCTTCATTCCACCAATTGCTCCACAATCACCCTCACCTATCATCTGCGGCTGGTACAATAGGCCGTATGTGGCCGCAGTACAAGGGACTTAGTCCCACCCCACTGGCAATAAAAAACCTAAAGAGTACACAAATATTCGCATTTATATCAACAACTTACAGCAAACCCTAGCTAATCCGGAGTAATTGGAGGAAGAGGTTGTCATCCGAATGAAACGATAATCCATATTTGTGAAACAAAAGGAACCCTAAAAACCCTTTAGAACACAAATGTAAAATTTAATTATGTAGGTAGTGCTAATGAAAACAGAGAAAAATATTATATTTTAGCGTCCTGTTACACTGATTCATGTCCATGGTTTATGCTGACCGTCTTACAGTGTATACACTTTTTCACCTTATTCTTCACTTCCACACTACATGCTTCAGCACTAATGTGCCATCTTCAGGTGTCTTTATGCACGTTAAACTATTGTACTGCATGCCATAATGTCTTCATTCTAAAATGACTAAAATCTGTATTCGTCATATAGACGATGAATTCTAAATAATAAAACTTTTCAGGATTCTTCCTACGTCGCACTCAAACACGCGAATTACGCCAATCCTTTTTTATGTGAGCATTCTTCCTACATATATTTGTGTATCGTGTTCTGTGTTGTGTCTTGCTCCTGTCACTGCATGCGTTGTACTGCTGGATCTGTGTCACACAGATCCAGCAGTACAACCCGGATAGCTCAGTCAGTATAGTGACTAGACCATGGAAAGGGGACTCTATTCTCGGTGAGGACAGAAAATGTTTCTATTTACCATCTCGTTCAGACTGGTTCCGAAGCGCACACAGCCTCCTCACCAACGACACCCTCCGCCATTTCCCCTGTCAGGGACGTAAAACTGACCATTCATCTCCATCTGGTGTCGAAGGTTAAGAATACGCGGAGCTATACCTCCACTCCAGCATACGTTTTCTTGGCGAGGCAGGGTCAATAAGGTTATACGGTTCATGGGTTCTGCCTGAAGGTTCCTCAACGCGGAGAATAAAAGTTTTCTTGGCGATGCGTTTAAGTGCAGGGTCTGTCTGAAGGTTCCTCAACATAGAGAAGAAAAGTACCTGGCGTGATAATTTAGTAGGAGAACATGCCCCAGGTGTAAATTCGACACACGCGAGGCGGACAAGACACAGGAACTAGAACGACTCTCTGAAGTTCGACAAACAAAAGCATCTGTGAGACACAACAAAAAAATAAGACAGACCTTTCACTCTCTAGAGCTCTTGGATCGATGGAGGGTACAGATGGCCGAAGGAGAGCTTCAGGAGGGGCGATGTCGTGGTGCCAGAGTATAAATACGTTACGTGAGGCTACACCGAGCATCAGTGGACAAGCTGCAATCTACGTGAACTCAGCAGTCATTACGCGCACCATGAAGGTCTTGGTAAGTATTGGCGAGCCAGCGGCATCCACTGACAGACTCGGCTTGTAAAACTGCTCAAGAAGAGATCTATCTTCTGGGGTTCGAAACCGTGTAATCCCTTACATCCCGGAAGATAGGACTCTTCATAACCACAGCTGTGAGAACCTTAGATCTTGCAAAACTGATCATGTTCATATGATGGCGGTGGTAATTCTTTGTCTAAAATATCTATGAGACGAACATGAAGGCCGCGCGGTCTGAGGCATGAACTGTCTTCGTTCTCTCGAACACTGGGGTCGTGGGTTCGAATCCTACTCAAGGCATGGATGTCTGTGTGTGCCTTTATTCTGTGTTTGTGTTGTCCTGTATAGGTAGGGAGCTTGTGACGGGCTGATCCCCTGTCCAAGGAGTCATACCGACTGAGTATAGGATTACGAACCTGAAAAAGCGGCAAAGGTCCAACAAAGGGCTGTAGCTACAGCCACTGATGAACGAATGAATGAAAACATGTATGAGTGTCTGTTCAATGAGACATCCGGTACGGCGATTTTGGTTGTCATCGTACGTTGAAAATGATGACGTAACGATCTACGTCATTACTTGATAATGACGCAATCTCAAAGATATTTTAGACACACTACATCAAATTTTATGTTATTTTTCGAGGCTGTCAGTAAGGTAAAAGGTAAAGTTATCCTTGCGCTTAACTAATTAAGCACCACGCCATGAGGACGTGGGGGGGGGATACAGCTCCACTATTCTTGACCTCGACACTAGACGGAGGTGAGTCGTCAGCTTCACGCCCCGGCCGCTTTACTCCCGACACCCATCGTATAGGAGGCTGGGAGGGCCCGAGAACCGGTCTGCACGCAGCAGACAAAAATGTTGCACTTGCGGGAATCGAATCCCGGACCGTCGCTATAAAGATTAAGCTATCTAGGCTTACATGATGTCGCAGGTAGACTATATAGCGTCGAATGGTAGAAACACCGATGAACTTGAAAGGATTTGGAAGGAATCGGCCGTGAACTGATAGAGATACTATATCGGCATTTTCCTGGAGGGAATGAGAAAAGCCATGAAAGTCGGTCGGAAACGTTACCGACCGAGCCTAAGTGACTTTCCACAAAATACAATACGTCACGAAGTTCTGTAAACGAACGCCGTAACTGGCGCAGAGGCAGCAATACAAACAAAAGGACATTCGAGTTGTGTACAGCAGGTGTCACTGTGTGTATGAAGGTCACTGGTTCGTATCTCTTTAGCGAGCTGCAAGTCACGGGTGAGAGGTACATTCGATTAGCTAAGAGCAACTTTCATATCCGCTGTTAGTAACGCGATTATACAACAGACATTTTAATTAGGCCTGGTCGGTATTTCCTTTTTATCGCGATATTCACAGTCTCCTGCCAGTGTCCACTAATTGTCTGGTTACGTGCGTTACCGTGACTACGTAACTGTGACCATGACAAACCAGTATGCGTAATCTACTGCGTGTTCTCAATGTTAAATTATTTTTTTTTTGCCAACGAAAGTGAAGTGATATTACTTCTAACTCGGAGCAGAAACAGAACTTATTACGTTCGTACCAAAGCGACTCGTTCTACAGACACTCTGTGTATATAACACAAAATAAAGATCCTAGTAGAAGCGGATGTTAGGGTTCAGTACCTACAGACCGAGCAGGTGAAGCCCTAGACTTGTTTTCAGGGGGCACGTGGTTCGATCTCGGCCGAAACACCGGCAACATTAACTGACGTTTCTTGTGGTATTCCTCAGTTTCTCCAGGCAAAGTGATGGTACAGTACCTCGATTATATCTCATCCGCTTCCATCGAAACCCTTTCTAGTTTATTATTAACTCATCGTCCGTCCGTTCACTGATGGTATGGGCTGCTGACAAAAATAAAACAAACTCCGTAGCCTGTAGTCCGCATACGAACTATACCTACCGAGCGACCGCCACTCGTCGGCGAAGACAGTGCCAAATTTTGCGGATAGAGGGTGTCACGTGGCCAGCGCAACGGTTCCCCACGGCCGTTAATCTCGGTTTTCTAGACCGGAGCCGCTATTTCTTTCAAATAGCTCCTCAATTATTCTCACGAGTCTGAGTGGACCACGTTCCAGACTTATTAATTCTCAGAAAATCTGGTAGCGCCGGGAATCGAGCTCGGAATCTCTGGATCTGCAGCTAGGACCTCTGACCAGTAGACCACAGAGGCGGTTCGGGCTGCTGACAGCTGCCTTAAAAACAGAAGGAAGCAGAGGAAACCCCGCGAATCCTGTTAGTTTTTTATTATTATTGTTGGGGTGAGACTGAGTTCACTTTGTACTGCGGCCGCTTCTGGCCTATTGTACCAGCCCAAGATGATAGGTGAGGGTGATTGTGGAGCAATAGGTGCAATGACGATTGGCAGGGGAAACCGAAGTACTCGGAGAAAACCCGCCCCAGCGCCACTTTGTCCACCACAAATACCACTTGACATACCACTGGCATAAGCCAGACACGAAAGCAAGAAAAGAGCAAAGAGGGAACTCTATTTTTTGCTTGCGTACTTGACTCTTTGATCAGAAAAAATAATGGAGGCAGAACTTATTCCGAAACGTCGATAAATTTCCAAAAGTTTATGTTGCGTCTGCAACATTCGAGAGATTCTCGGAATGAATATTGGCTGGAAAGCCTATTATCTTGATACAGATATTTAGTTGTTTTCCTCAGTACCTTCAGGAGTGATGGAATATCCAGATAGGAGGCGGCCATATTGGAGGAGGTTATTATTCAAGTCATTCTGAATAAGAAATCTCACATAAACACGTCTTGTTCGCTGCGGGTAAGGAATTGTGATTGGTTAGAAATAACTCAGAGGGGCACTATGACCCTGGGGGTCGACTCAGCCTCTAACATAAATGTGTACCAGGAATCTTGCGGGGGGTAAAGGGCGGTCGGCTCGTAAGTCTGACATCGCCGTCATATGTTAGCCGATTGTCAAGAAAATGTGGGAGCCTCGACGTCTCACAACCTTATGGGCCTCCACGGCCTGTTACAGGGATACTTTTACACACTGCAGCAATTTCTTCCTCTGTCAGAAGCTGAAATAGTCTCTTTCATCCACCTAAAGCCAGTCTTGGATATTTTCTTTCTTGGTTTCACAGTCTCTCCAGCTGCCATCAACACATTCTGAAAGTCCTCTTGCTCCTAACTCCCACGTGTCTTTTAGAGTACGTACTCGATTGTGAACAGGATATTTCATTTCTCGTATAAAGACCCGGATTAACTGTAACCGGATTAGTCAGGGGTTCCTGTACATGAAACTGAATCGTTTCAAGATGGCAGACGTATTCAAACTGTGCACTCTCGACAATAGTATCGAAATTGAAGTTACGCCGTCTTGAAACAACTGAAAGTCCGCGGCCATTCAACAGACAACTCAGTTCTTATTCAGAACGACTTGGATTCATTTGGCCACGTCGTCCCAAGACCCCGTGCAAGAGTGGCATATATCAGTCCAGTGTTCTACTGTCCCACAGGCTTGCATCGTGTTGGCTGTCGCCTCCTGCACCTTCGCCGAAGAAGCAGAGAAGAAAACCGAGAAGCGAGGGGTTGTTGGCCTCGGCTACGGCGGATATGGCGGATACGGTGGATATGGCGGATACGGTGGATATGGCGGATATGGCCACGGCCTTGGATACGCCGCCGCCGCCCCCGCTGTGGCAGCGGTAGCAGCTCCCGCCCCCGTGTCTCATGTATCTCAAGTCAGCTACTCCACTGCGCACTACGGCGGGTATGCTGCTCCCGCTGTGGCTAAGATCGGTTATGCCGCCCCAGCCGTGGCTAAGATCGGTTATGCCGCCCCCGCTCTGGGTCTCGGACACGGACTCGGCTACGCCGCTGCCGCCCCAGCCGTCGTCGCAGCTCCTGCTGTGGCTAAGATAGGATACGCCGCCCCAGCTGTGGTTGCCGCTCCCGCTGTGGCTAAGATCGGTTATGCCGCCCCTGCAATCGGCTACGGACATGGTCTGGGTATTGCTGCCCCCGCTTATGCTGCTACATATGCCGCCCCCGCTGTGGCTAAAATCGGTTATGCTGCCCCAGCTATCGGCTATGGACATGGCCTGGGTTACGCTGGTTATGGTGGTTATGGATACCATTAAGGTCACACCAGTTCATGTCTGCGATGTTAGGTGTGGCCGAGGGACGCTATCATGAACTTGCCAACACAATTACACTCTGCAAACAATGTCTAAGTTCTTCTTCTACTAAGCCTGGTTCATTAAAGCAGAAAACTTCTAGGAACCAGTTTGTGAACAAAAACATTTCTTTGACACAAAATAACTAATTTTCGGCTTAATTTCATTTCCTCTCCCTTTTTTATTCCGATTTTCTCATCTCCAACATCTTCATCATGTATCTGTTATACATCTTCATAAATCTTTGAATATTCCCCAATATTATATTCACATACACAAATTTTAATGTGCAATATTACATTATTTATTCAGTGCCAAGAATGTTACATATTCATACGTTATCATTCATCACCATGATCATCAGCTTCTCTGTATCATCGCAATTCCATACTCTGAGACCTAAGAAATAAAATGTGAATACCGAACACAAAATTAGTTTATTTCTTCGTGTTGCAACAGCTCCCTCTCTACGTGCCCTTACTGAGGCACAGCAGCCCGCACTGAGACCCAGTATCACCACAGAGAGAGTGCAACCCTGCCCAGCTCAGTCTGGGCTAAAAACCAACTTAAAATAGTTTTCACAGCGTTGGATATGAAGAGTTCTTTCTCCTGGGAGCAAGATACCACAACCTGTTTCCACGCAAGTATCTTTCTCGGCTTATTCGACCCTGAAGTTGGAGGCGATATGTTCCACCAAAACGTCGGTTGACTTTCAACGGACTACACGGCGTTATATCCCAGAAGATAGTATTCTTCAGAATACATATGATTTTCTTTCATTAAATTTCTCGTTAGCCGGTCTAAGGTATGTACTGTCTTCGCTCCCTCGGAAGTAGGGATCGTGGGTTCGAATCCCACACGTAGCATGGATGTTTGGTAGATGTAGGTGTTTATTCTGTTTGTGTTGTCCTGTGTTTTGGTAGAGGTCTTGCGACGAGCTGACCACTCGTCCAAGGAGTCCTACCGTCTGTAAAATGTTAAAAAAAAAAAAAAACCACGACACCGTAGGGTATAAGAAGAAGGGATTAGGTAAGTAAAATTTCTCGTAAAATCTTAAATGAATATCTTCATAAGATGAAAAGAGATTCAGGTAAGAACTAATCGCCTATTTCCTTTTGAGACGACACGGACCACATAGAAAGCAATGCAAACAAATTTTCTTTTTGCCGCTAGAACATGTCGCCTCCATCTTCAGTGTCAAAAAATAACACAAGCAAGAAATCAGCCTCTAAATGGTAGAAAAGCATAGTTCTACTCGCGTTCTGAAGACGGAGGCGACGCGTTCCTCCGAAACGTCGGTTCACTTTCAACACGGCGTTTTATGACAGAAGCTTTCTTGCAGAGATAACAAGTTCTACGCAGTGAAGACTTCCGTACCGAAATTATATAGCGTTGGATGGCTAGAATTTAAGAGCACAATGAATTGGAAAACATGTGGGCTTATTTAGGGCACAATCATAATATAGTAGTCTGGAGGACCTGACTAAAACCACGTAAAACTTTAGTTGGTGTAGCCGAACACAAGTTTAGAGCAGTACACTTCCCGACCAAAGTTTTCGAACTGCCTTCTGGAATGTGACGCCGTGTACTAATGTTGTTCATTCTGATTTACTGCCACAGTTTCTCACCTGAGCAAGGTCTGAATCTTATTTCGAATTAGTACTCATCTTTGCCGGGAACGTGGTAGCGTAATTGATTGAGGCATAATACCACAAGCCGGAAGGTCGCGGGTTCGATTCCTGATAAGACAATTGAATTTTTCTTTTGACATAATCCTTCCAGCCGCAATATGACCGTGTGGTTGGCTGAGCCTCTAACAGAAATGAGTACCATGAATCTTCATGGAGATAAAGGGTGGCCGGTGCGTGAGGCTGACAACCTCACCGCCATCTGTGAGCCGATCGTCTAGAAAATGCGAGAGTTTCGACGTCTCACGGCCAGTTACAGGGATATCTCTACCTTTCTTTTCTACTGATACCTGCCGCTACAACAGAATGACCTCGGTTGGGGCACTGCGCATGATCTGAGGCTCTCGTGTCTGTAACGTTGTCCTGCTTCTATTCATTTAACCATGCAAAAGAAACGAGTTATCGCAGCCTCGGACACTGTTCTCATTAGAACGCTCATGTGCCTCTAAGATGCAGGCAGCAAGTCCTACACACCGAGCAAACTGTCTGAGATGGTAACGCTCCTGTCTTGTATTCTGGAGGTAAGGTAAGGTGAAGTTGTCCCTGTGCTTAATTAAGACGCATGGGGGAGTGGAGGTACGGATGCACCATTCTTGGCCTCGGCAGTAGATGAAGGTCAGTCAGTTTCACGTCCAGGCCGTTTTACCCTAGGGAAACAATCTCCGGTACCGGAGAGGAAGTTCAGTGGGTCTCTGAGTCGGTTTGGACATTCTGGAGTAAAAAAGGCACTTTGCTCCTGCCGGGAATCGATCGCCGGCCGTCCAGTCCGTAGTCCTCCGCTATACCGACTGAACTATCCTGTCTCATTTGCATATTGAGTGTATTAACAATTTGTACACTTCACAAAATATTATTAGGATGACCAAATCAAGGAGGATGAGATGGGAAAGATATGTAGCACGCATAGCAGCGAGAGAAAATGTAGCTCTATACAACATCTTGGAAAACCTGAAGGGCAAATATCACTTGAGAGACAAAGGCGTGGACGGAGAGTATTAAAATGTCTTCTGAATAAATAGGATGTGATGTTGGATTCAACTGGCTTAGGATAAGGTCTAGTGCTTGGCTGTTGGAAATCTTGTAGTTACGTAAGAAGTGAGGCCGTGCCATAGCTCAAGCGGTTAGTCGCTGGCTTCCCACCGCGGCGGCCCGGGCAGGTTTTCTCCGAGTACTTCGGTTTCCCCTGCCAATCTTCATTCCACCAATTGCTCCACAATCACCCTCACCTATCATCTGTGGCTGGTACAATAGGCCAGAAGTGGCCGCAGTACAAGGGACTTAGTCCCACCCCACTAGCATTTCACGTAAGAAGTGTGAAACTTGTGGACCAGCTGGACTACTATTAACTTCTTAAGAAGGACTCTTCCCCGTGCAATTAGTCCTTCAGACTGTCGGAATTTAACGAATCAAATACTAGAAGTTAAGGCCACCGAAGGTACACAAAAAACTTACATAAATAAAGACAGTAATTCAGCAGAAAGAGCGGTTGACGCAAGTGTGGAAAGTAAATTAATCTGAAATATAATATATGAAGGAACATGAAAGCTGACCAATGAAACGTCCGGTTTTTTAAAGAGCAATTGGGTCCTTGACCACAATCTCAACAAACCCATTAACATGCCCGGATACAAATTCCCACAGTTGTCATGACTCAATACAACACCCAACTATGGACATAGCAGAGGCCAGCATAGCTCAGTCAGTGCAGTGACTAGACTACTAGCTGCACATCCAAGAAATTCGTATAAAATTCCCGGCAGGAAGCCTTCTTTTCGCCTCTACATAATTCAGACCGGCTCTGGGGCCCACTCAGCCTACCCAATGAGTACCGGGATTCATACTCCGTGGGTAAAGCGGCCGAGTCGTGAGGGTGACCACTCCTTTCCATCTACTACTAAGTTTAAGAATGCACGGAGCTTTACCTCCACTCTCCCTTGCGTCTTGTTGGAATGGTGCTTAATATCTAGATTAGAACAGAAAGAGTATTTGGAATGGGAAGGACATATGAAGCCGAAGACCTGGTACCTGGGCAGTGCTTACTAGCCTGGGTGTTTGTAAAGGAATTATCGATTCAGTTAGACAGTAAGTTTTGTGAACCGGTGTGGACAAGAAGCGCGGAAGATCTAGTTAATTGAGAGCTGCGTAAGTTGGAGAGGACCTCCTTACAGGACAGCAGGAGTTGTTCTGCGGTCCAACTGCAACTGACAGCACAACTGGCGTGAGGTGCCAATGCTGGGTCCAACCTGCACAGCTCCCCTGGTTATTACCAGTCAGAAGATGCTAATAATATTATTCACTTATTTGCGTTTTTGCAAAGGGAAGCCCCCAGAGCCAGGAACATAAAAATTTAGTTCCTACCTCACAGAAAACACAATGTATGGTAATTATAAAGATAAACAAGTAAATGTTATCCAGGAAATTAATTACTGCTGATTATGAGAACCATACGAAATACATATGCTGTCTGGGAAAATTCAGAGATAATTTTAATGCTAAAGAATATGGTACATATTGTATATACCGGTATGCTGCAAAGGAGTTAATTAAGCAAAGCCGCATTCCTACTATCTTAAACCAGGTGATCTAATGACACGAACATATTCTGGACTTTAACTGAACGCAAGCAAGTTGGTGGGACCCTCACGCAAGTGTATAGCATGTGAATACAGGGACAAGTTTGGTAATTAAATTGCTGCTTTGGGATAAACAATCGTGGAAGGCAACCCGCATTCCAGTGACAAGAATTCCTTTCACAGTTTCAAGGTATATTATCTCTTTGTTTTATTAGCGGCAAGTTCCCATGAACCAGGACGCTTATTTCGAGATAAAGAAAGAACATATATGAGAAAATGGCATAACGGCTTATGTACCAGTTCATTTTAGGCCGTTTCTTCTTCGCTGTCGGAATATTAATCGTTTTTGAGTTCACTGGTCTAGTAAAGCCTAGGAACAACTGGAGATCTCTACGGTTTTGTATTTATTTAGTTCTTGTTTAAAGGCCACACCATAGCTCAAGCGGTTAGTACCTGGTTTCCGACCGCGGGGGCCCGGGTTCGAGCCCGTGTCTGGTCAAGGGGGATTTGTGGTGGACAAAGTGGCGCTGGGGCAGGTTTAATCAGAGTACTTCGGTTTCCCCTGCCAATTTTCATTTAACCAAATTCTCCATCATCATAATCACCCGGGGCCGGTAAAATAGGCCAATCAGTGGCCGCCGTGCTGAGTGGACCCAGCTGGACTCCATCTCTCACTAAGCAAAAAAAATATAAAAAAGTAAAGGTATCCCTGTAACAGGCCCTGGAGGCCCATAGGGTTGTGAGATGTTGAGGCTCTCACATTTTCTACACAATCGGCTCACAGATG